CAGTTGATAGAGAATTAAAGGCCATGAAGGAAATTAATTCCAGACAACATAGTTTTATGGAAAGTAAGGCTTGTAAAATGAACTTGATTTTAATCTTTTAATATTTGATAAAATTACATGTTTGATAAGATGACACTGCTGATGTAGTAGAGTTTGAGAAGCATTTGATTTAGTACCATGTGACACTGATTAACAAATACATAAATTGAACTATATAATATAACAGACTAGACTTGAAAGAGTAGCAAACTAGCTAGCAAATCTTAATATATGATAGTCAATAACGAATCATTAGAGTCTAGGTGGTTTTCCACTGGCATGAGGAGCAATGTAAAGCCCAATGATATGTAGCATTTTCACTGCTGTAATTTTACACTTTGAAATTAGCTGGTAACCTGAAGATTGGCAAAACAGCAATAACCCTGAAGACAAGACGGTCATAAAGAGAGATCAAGCTGACTGAGTGAGCCAAATTTTTGTTTTTAAATATTGAAAAATGTAAATCATCTGGCTAGGAAGATGGAAGCTAGCAGGCTATGCTTGGAAAATGGGAGATGAGAGTACCGATAGGAAATTCTGTCAGGGTCGTGGGAAGAAGTAGACCAATAAGTCTGAAGTAGTGCTGGAGCCAAAGGAGTAATGCTATGTGTAAGGAGTCAATAAGGAAGACGAGGCCAGTGATTTTACACTGTATATAGAACTGCAGTTTTGTATAGAACGATGTTTAGAAGGCTGCACACAGCTCTGACATCGGCATTCTTGAGAACAGACTTGAAAATGGTTAAAGTACAGATAACCAGCTAACAGTAATAAGCCCCTGTGGTATCTGAATTAGTATTCAGGGGCTCCATAGTGTACTCAAAAGTTCTGTCTGTATAGTATAGTCTTGATCCAGTCTTCCTTAAGTGGATGTCCCCATAGCAGGTATGATGTAGCCAAAAACAAAGCAATGGACTTCATAAACAGCAGATCAGAAGAGAGAATTTAATACTTTGTGATTTCTACTTTACTGTATTTTCAAAGCTTTATATATATATATTTTTGGTACACCTGCATTCTGCCACCCCAGAGCTGTATGTCCTGTGTCAAGTAGATTAAGACCACCTAACTGTAGACTAGTAGACCAAACGTTGGACAATTTACCTCTTATTAGGTAAGAAAAGATAGGGATAGAGAGCAAAACGTTGAGGGTAGTAATTGAATATGTGATTACGCAAGAGTAGAGTTTTGAATAGGATTCAGGTCTCTTGACTCCTACATGAGTGCTTAGTCTGTGAAGTCATGCTACCACCATAAAAATAAGTAGAATAAAGGTATATAAGTGTATCTGAGGTAAGGTAAATAAATATATCTAAATAGCATTATTGCTTCTATTAGTATTTTGTCCATACAGCTTAGGTAGTATGAGGCTGAGTACATTATCTGTTTTTATTTGAAAGATTTCAAACGAAATAGTTGTTCTTAATCAGAGTTTTTACTGTTACCTGACTTTTACTGTAAATGCTGGATAAGCTGAAAAAGAAGTATTAAATTAGAAAATGTTTATTCAAAAAAAGTTTCTAATGAAATTATTGATACTTGCATAGTTAACATAGTTACATCAAATACATAAACTCTACAAAGATCTATCATTAAGTGGTAAGGGAACTCTAGTTATTTTCAAAAGCAAGCACTTTGTGTTTTTTTCTGTTAAAAGTATTACAGATAAAATGTGTGCGTTATCAACACACACTCTCTTTTTTATTGTTATCCATATTATGATTATTATCCGTTTACCTTATTTTAAAATGCTTTTCTTCATGGTTTCTATAGAGCCTCAAAACAGATTCACTTGAAAAATGTTTATTGTTCCTATATTCTAATAATATATGCCTTTAGCTTTAGAGAAAAAGTAAATGTATGAGACAAATGAAGCACAGGAAAAATTTTGTGCTCACTATTAATTTTCCTCTCATATGTAGTGTCTAAGTTGTTTCGCATTAATGTAATCAAGACTACACAGAATAGAACGCTTTTTTTGGTAATATGCAGGAAGTATTCTAATTGTTTTTTCTTATAACCCTTTCACATTTCTAACATTGACTTTGATTTCAATTCACATTCATACAGACCTTGATATTTTAGAATAATCTAATCAAGCAGAAGTACATAATCAGTTGGTTACATCAAAGCTCCATGGAACAAGATTGTGTTAAAAAGATACATTCTGCTGCTTTGTGTTACTCTAAATAATGGTAAATACACTTCCTTACACTTCTTGATATCCTCTTGGAGAAACATTGCAGCTGCATGTGGAGGAAATCAAGGCTGCAGTGTGCTTATGCTGAAGATGATATGAGGATGTTCTGCCCATGTTGTAGTCACAGGAAAAGTATGTTTCCTCTGTCAGCTGGAGCTGTAGCTGATTAAACTTTGAGATGTCCATCAAGAGTGTATTGTTATTAGTACACTGATTAGTGATTAGTAATACTAATTACTAATACAGTATAGAAGAATATATGCATTCTATGTACATTCCATTATCATATATACTGTTGACACTCTCCCTGACAAGTTTCAACCTGGGCAAACCATAATTCTCCCAGACAATGCCTGGGCATGGGGATTCAGAGGACAGCACATTTGGCGGCTGTTGCCAGTGTGTAGGTAGCATGGGTGAGGCTTCCTTGTTTCAGAAGGGAAGAGAATCTGTATCGATGCAAGGCATGCTGTGTCATTTACTCTGAAGGCCAGGAGAAGGTACCTGGCCCATTTGATCTGCAGTGTAAAAAGCACTATGATTCTGCCTCCCAACTGGTACCTTCTATGTGCATGCTGTTTTTCCTGGCTCCTTTAGTGTTGTCAAAGTATCTTTCTTTGTCATTCTGTTCTTTTTTTCTGACCAAAAGTGTCCAGGCGTGAATCACAGTAAAGAGATCACTGGCAGCAAACCCTGTGCTGTGACACTACCAAATGTCCTACTCACTGGTAGCTCACTGGTGCTTTCACTCTTACAGTCCATGACATGTAAACATATCCTTAAAGAGAAAAGAAGAAAATATAAGGTAGATGTCTCTCACTTGGTTCTAATCCATTTCCAATACACAGAAAGCCCTCCCTTTGAGAGTTGATATTATGTTTTGTGATGAAATATTATTATACTTTGCTTATGCATTCGTATTTACCTTGATTCATTTGTTACACGATAGCTTTGACCTTTGACCTCTGTGTTTTTAGTCACTAATTAACACTACAGCAAGAAGCATAGGAGACATAGGGAGTGATATTTTATTATGTAAGTAAGAGGTACGTAGGTAAGTAGAGTTTTCTAAAAATCAGTGACTAGACTCCTGAATGATCTGTCCAAATGTATTTGTTTTCATATGGAAAAAGTAGGACAAAGTGGCTGGAGTTATGAGATGTTAGATAAATTATCTGTAGGAAAAAGCAGTATGTTGTGTAATATTTTAAGTTCTGAAACTGAAGCTTATACATTGATCTGCGTTTAGATGCTTGGCCTTATTTTGAGCTGATGATATTATGTCACAACAGTGTTTAGTGCTAGTCAGCAGCTGTTGTATTCATACTAAATTATGTCGGATTTAATCTTGAATATGTTCAACAAGAGCATCCAGTTGTGCTGACGAAGCTACAATCATTTTGAGTTAAATATGTTCTATCACAAAACATTTGCCTCTATGAAGAATGACAAAGTCAATGTGCCAGCTCAGCTGCATAATTCCCATTGCCTCTTAAATTCCCATATTATAGCCAGACATCAGAGCAATAGACTAAATAGGAATCTGCAACAGCAGAGGTAGACAATGTGAGGTGTTTTCTCAAGGGTATTATTTTCACGGTCTTTTTAGTTGCACATGTATGTGCCTGATTCACCACTGCTTGTGTATCCATTTATACTTATCCAAAGGGAATGCAATTTAATTTTAAAATACTCTCAAATCACTGCGATAGGATTTAATACTCATGGTTGGCTAGGTCTAGAGACTGAGCTTCACACCTCAGAGCTGTTTTCCAATTCCAGTCTCTGATTAGAAAAGTGTACAAAGAGAAACTCCCATTTACAGAAGCGGTTAGGAGACATCGTTTCTTTTGTAACCTGGGTATTAAGGCAAATTCTTGGCATAGATTGACTTAAGTAACCGTAGGAAATACAAGTAATCTTCTTTATTTAGCCTAAGTCAGCTGCTTCTTTGCAACTTTTATGCCTTGTGGACTTTATAGTATTGTGTTTTGCATTCGTATGCATGGCTTGGGAAATACTCTCTTCAAGGTAAATTAATCCTGATCACTGTGAACCTCCTGATCAGTCTAGCATCTGGAAAGTGGTTTCTTAGCTGTTGTCCAGTTACTGAGGCTGCGTTGCGTAAGAAGTAGAGAGTTCTGCCTTAGATTTTTGAAGTTTCATTCTTGGAACTGTCTTTAGGTCACCAGTAATGATGCTCATAGGCAGCTAGTTTTTAATCCTTCAGCATTCTTGTTGGTCCTAAATGCAGTAAAAATAAGGAGGGTGTCAGAATCATTCTTCTACCTTGATTTGCTGTGGTCTCTCACACTTGCTTGAGAGGGAAAATCTAGAACATTTCAAAGGACAGATTTCCCTTGAATTTGATTTCTGCCACCTCTTGACCCAGGAAAGGAGAAAAGAGATTTTGGCAGTGTGATGTCAGTTAATTAGGTTTTGATTTTCAGGGCTAGACATGACAACAGATGTCAATGTTATGCATTTTTGGGTGTAACCATAAGCCTGCCTAACCTTCAGCAAGGTTATAGGTGTTATTCACTAACTTCCTTAAGAATTAACAGAAGTACGATGATCTAGGTATCCTAAGAACTTTTGAATCTCCGCTTGTATTTCATTAGAGCACACTGTGTAATTGTTATTCTCTGCTTTTACCCTTGGCTATAACGCATAGAGTACTGGTTTTCATAACATTACTAATATGTCATTGTCTGAGTCTACATAGTCTCCATATTGTTGTTTTCGTATTTTTATTTACCAGGTTTCTAGTCTATATTTCCATAACTATTCCAAGCCACTAGTCCAATGAAGTTGGAGTTCATTCTTCCAGTGTGAGTTACTTAATGCAACCTAAAAACATGATGAAAAAGAAGAGCACATCTGCAAGCAAAGCTTCCTTGCTTCTCTTTCTGTGCCAAATGATTTCTGCATTGGATGTACCTCTAGACTGTAAGTATTAACTTGTTAAATAAGTGCAGGGTAACGGAAGGTTAATTTGTGTACAGGAAGACGAAAATAACTCCAACATGGAACTAAAGGTGGAATGTGTTTGCTCACTTTGGTCAGGACACTGTGATTATGAATACTTACATGAATTTATTGAAGATTTTCAAAAACTGTACATACAAAATATTATTCAGCTGAAAAAGGTTAACAGAGGATTCTGAGAAATACGTCACACTTTTGTATGCCTTTATTGAACACTTTAGTTGATCAAAATGAAGAAGGGCAGAAAAGCTAATTAGTTGTGGCAGTAAGGTCATATAGGCAATTTGCTGAAAGTACCAGGAGTATTCCTAGTTGCTGTAAAACAGTCAGTCACTCTTATCTTCCTATAAGAGGGTTTCTAGAGGCTGAAGTGGCATCCAGTAAAAGATTCAAATACCCAAAATAGAGACATTGGAAGCGTCTTACTTTTTGACTCAGAATACTGAGTTAAGTATTTAGGTTTCCTAAATGGCTG